TTAGCCAGGATGGTCTCGATCTCCTGACCTCGTGATCCGCCCGCCTCAGCCTCCCAAAGTGCTGGGATTACAGGTGTGAGCCACCGCGCCTGGCCTTTTTTAAAATTTTTTTAGAGACAGGGTCTTACTCTGTTGCCCAGGCTGGAGTGCAGTGATGCAATCACTACAGCCTCAACTACAGCTCACTACAGCCTCAAACTCCTGGGCTCAAGCAATCCTCCTGCCTCGCCCTCCCAAAGTACTGGGATTGCAGGCATGAGCCCCTGCCTAGCCTATACCACTCCTCTTTGCTCCCTCCGCAGGGACTTTCGAGTCTCTAGAAGTGCCCAGAGCAGGCAGGGGCCACTGGTTGGCAGAAGCAGTAGGGCTGCAGGCCCAAGTCAGCACAAGCCATGTGATGGCAGGGGCCGGCGCCCAAGGACATGCGGTCTCAAAGGCCACAGTGAGTGGGAACCTGGATGAGGAGGGGCTTCGTGGCCGCAGGAGGCAGGAAGCGGCCTCAGCCACCAGGAGGAAGGAGCCAGGAGCAGAGGGAGCCGCAGGGCAGTGCCAGCCACTGCAAACAGGAGCCAAGGGTGCTTGGGCAGCCAGAGGGCAGGAGGAACAGGGAGCAGGGACAGGAGGGCTCCGGCAGGAGCCGTGGCCTAGGAGCCAGAGCAGAGGGGAGCACGAGGCAGCAGGAGCCGAGAAGCAACACAAACCAGCATCGTCAGGAACCAGGAGGAGCCTCAGCAAAGCCGGAGTCACCCGCCGGAGTGAGGAGAAGCCGCGCGAGAGAGAAGCCACGGAGCTTCGGAAGCGAGCGTGAGCAGGAGCCACCAGGCGGCGGGGGCTGCGTGGCCTTGACAGCGGGCGCGAGCCAGACCCGGGACAGAGCTGGAACCAGAGCGCAGCAGAACCCACCGTGCGACAGACGCCACTACGCAGGGAGAGCCGGGGCTGCGGAAGCCTCATGTGAAGTCGGTGTTTGACGGAGATTAGAGCCCCGCTCTCTTGCTTCCTCCCCAGAGGGGGTCCCCCGAGAGACCCCACCCTCTCCCTGGTGAGCAGGGTGAGACGGGGCGGTACTGACCTTTGAGCTGCTCTCCAGCGCCCCCCAGCAGCTGGTAGAAGATGTGGAAGCTGCACTCGTCCTTGGCCTGGCGGATGGCCCGCGACTTCTCCAGCAGGTCTGGTCATAGCGAGTCAAGGTGCTAGATAGAGGGGAAGGGACGGCCCCGACGCTGCCAGGCCACTACAGGAGCCTGCCCTGCCCACGCTGCCTCCTTCTCGCCTGTGGAGCAGTGGACTCGTTCACAGCCCAGGCTAGTGACTTTGCCACTAACTGGATGAGCAGCCGTGCTGATGTCACATAAGCACTTGTGCCTCAGTTTCCTCATCTACCTGTTCAAGGGGCTCAAAAATAACACCTTTATGAGACCTTCCTCTCTCTCTCTCTCTCTCTCTCTTTTTTAGAGACAGGGTCTTGCTCTGTCTCTAAAAAACTCATCAATCCTGTGGGTGCGGTGGCTCAAGCCTGTAATCCCAGCACTTTGGAAAGCTGAGGCAGGTGGATCACCTGAGGTCAGGAGTTCAAGACCAGCCTAGCCAACATGGTGAAACCCCATCTCTACTAAAAATACAAAAATTAGCCAGGTGTGATGACAGATGCCTGTAATCCCAGCTACTTGGGAGGCTGAGGCAGGAGAATCGCTTTAACCTGGGAGGAGGAGGTTGCAGTGAGCCAAGATCGCACCACTGCACTCCAGCCTGGGCAACAGAGTGAGACTCCGTCTCGAAAACAAAACAAAACAAAACAACCCCTCATCGATCCTGGATGAGTTGCTGTGAGGATAAATGACTTACTGTGCATGAAGCACTCTGAACAATGCCTGGTTCAAAGTTACCCGCGGGTGAGAATGTCTCCTGCCATTAGTACTCTCCCAGCCTCAGCTTTCCCATGCAGATACCTCAGCTCCCATCTTCAACTAGACTGTCTCTGCATACTCTCCCTCCTAAGAAAGTCACGTGTCAAACTTACATATTAAAAGGTGGCAAGACTCTTGTTTTTTGTTTTTTAGACAGGGTCTGGCTCTGTTGCCCTGGCTGGAGTGCAGCAGCACAAGGCACTGCTCACTATAACCTCCGCCTCCCCAGCTCAAGCGATACTCCCACCTCAGCCTCTTGAGTAGCTGGGACTACAGGTGTACACAACCATACCTGGCTAATTTTTAAATTTTCTTTATTTTAGTAGAGATGAGGTCTCACTGTGATGCCCAGACTGGCTTCAAATTCCTGAGCTCAAGCGATCCTCCAGCCTTAGCCTCCCAAAGTGCTGGGATTATAGGCATGAGCCACTGCACCCAGCCAAGACATCTTAGAGTAAAACAAAACACCAGACACTTTGCTTAACCCTTCAAACTCCTAGCCTCAAATGACCTACCTGCCTTGGCCACCCAAAGTACTGGGATTACAAGCTTGAGCCACCGTGTCTGGTCACTAATTTAATCACTAATTGCTAATAACAATAGCTTGTTCTTGAGTGCCTGCTATGTAGCAGGTGCTGTGGCCAAGCATTTAACTCCAAAATCCTCCAAGCCCCTCTAGGGTAGGTTCTATGTTCCTTCTCCTTCTACAGAGGGAGAAACTGAGGCAGGGAAAGGCCAAATCACGTACCCAAGTCCCCAGCGTCTCAAAGTGGCAGAACTGGGATTTGAACCTAGGTTGGTACGATTTCTTGGCCCATCCTCTTAATTTCTGCACTCCCAGAGTGCCTGTGTTTTATCGTTTAATTTCCTTTAAACACCCATATGCCGTCTGAACAGAAAAGGGTGAACACAGCCGGCCTGAGATGCTCCCCTGGAAAGGCCTGCTGGCCAGGTGGGCCCCTGGCTAACGTCTGGGGACCTGGATTTCAGGAGGGTTCCAGCATCCTCTAACAGGATGAGAGGGGTTCGCTGGGCCTAAAGGGTTTGTGCAAACACCCTGGTTTACACTGATCACCTGCTTTCCTCCTGGGAATGTGGAATTTAGGTTCATACTAAGGGCGGGGGATGGGGGTACAGCAGGGATGTGACACTGAGTCTCTCTGCGCTTCTCTGGGACAGCATTTCATAAGTGTTGCCCCACCTGGTGTCCTGTGTGCCTCTGCTGGAGAGGGTTCTAGGAGCCTGTGCCTGGTCCCCGGGGGACATGACCCCACGTGCCTTTTCCCTTTGCTTACACTGCTCTATGTCATTTCACTGTCATGGGTCACCATGAGTGCCACTGCAGGCTGAGTGCTGGGACTCCCCTTATGGCTGAACTGGGTGGACACCAACCCACCACCCCATAGCAAGGCTGTACTGGCCTCATACACACCAGAAGTCCCACCCTCCCCTCCCCATGCAGATGCCGCCTGAGCACCCGGTCCCATCTGAGTAGCAGGGAGGGGGTCCCTGCGGTGGGAGGTGCTTCCCATACTCAGTGCTGTCTGAAAGGCTGCCCCCTCGGCTGCCACCCCCATGGGCTGTGACAGGATACAGGTCTCAATGTTGGCGCCCACGATGTACCCGGCAACGTCGAAGTTGATGCGAATGAATTTGCCCTGGGAGAGACCAAGGTGGGTGGGCTTCAGCGGAGGGTCCCCTTCCCCGCTCAGACCTGAAGAACAGCCCAAACCCCACACCCACTGCTCCCAGAGCTGGGGCTGCCTCCGCACTTCCTTGCTGCCTCTACCTGAACCCCATCCTATGGTGAGTCCCCAGCGAGGGACTTCGTGGGAATTCAAGGTCTTGGCTCCTTGGACTTCCTTCCCCAACCCCCGGTCCCCAGCTGCTCCTCCCTTGGAATCAGGCACCCAGCCTCCAGCCCCTCCTCCCTCAGACCCAGGAGTCCAGGCCCCCAGCCCCTCCTCCCTCAGACCCAGGAGTCCAGACCCCCAGCCCCTCCTCTCTTAGACCCAAGGGTCCAGGCCCCCAGCCCCTCCTCCCTCAGACTTAAGAGTCCAGGACCCCAGCCCCTCCTCCCTCAGACTTAAGAGTCCAGGACCCCAGCCCCTCCTCCCTCAACAGATCCCCATGTCTTTCCCCCTGAAGTCCACTCCCAGGTTCCCAGTTCCTGTATCCCTGACACAGCCAGCACTGCCCACCCCTGGCACTCACGAATCGGGAGGAGTTGTCATTCTTCACCGTCTTGGCGTTGCCGAAGGCCTCTAGGATGGGGTTGGCCTGAAGCAGCTGCCGCTCTAGCTCACCCTGCCAGGCACAGGAGATGATGCATGAGATCAGTGAGAATGGGGCAGGAGGCCAGGCCAGCCCAGCTCAGGCTGTGTCGCCAGTTGGTTGAGTATCTGTGTGTGGGGGACCTTTGTGTGTCTGGGTGTGTGCCCACTTCCCGTATCCGGGTCTTGCCCATCTGTCTATTGTGAGGGGAAGAGGGAAGCATCTCCAAGACATATTGTTAAGTGGAAACCAAATCAAACCAAGCCAAACAACAAAACAAGTTGCAGAACAATGTCTACAATGTTATCCCATTCATAAAATATGAATTAAGGAAGAAACACCACAAAACAAGACTCTTAAATCTACAGATATATACATGTTTGTAAACATATGGAGAAAGGTCTGCAAGGATGCACACCAAACTGTCAACAGTATAAGGCACTCCAGGAAACGGGACTGAGGGGAGGAAACAGGAATTTCATTTCATTTGATTTGTTGTTGTTACAATGAATATGTACTCATGTGTTGCTTGTAGAAATTCTGGAGTGCAGTGGCATGGTCATAACTCATGGCAGCCTCAAATTCCCGGGCTTAAGGAATCTTCTCACCTCAGCCTCCTGAGTAGCTGGGACTACAGGCAAGTGCCACCATGCCCAATTAATTTTTAAAAGTTTTAGTAAAGATGGGGTCTCACTCTGTTGTCTAGCCTGGTCTTGAACTCCTGGCCTCAAGCAATCTTCCCACTTCAGCCTTCCAAAGTGTTGGGATTATAGACCTGAGCCACCAAACCCAGCCTAGAATTTTTAACTAAGGCAAAAATCTGTATCACCTATATAAAGTGCTTCAAGCAGTCTGGCACATAATAGGCCTTCAAAAAATAGTGGGTTCCTAGCCCTGCCAGGCTACTCCTTGGCAGGAACCCTACTCCAAACTTCCCTCCAACCCCCTTGGTGTCAGAGCCTGGCACACAGTAGGTGCTTCGTAAATGGCAGCCTATGTGTGTTTTCTCAGTCCACGTCTTGCTTGTGTTAAGATGACATGATCTAGCTAGGTGGATGCTTTGTCAAATGAAAAAAGATACACAAAGTGAAGGGCACACAACTTGGCACACCGAAGAACACGAGGCATGCGTGTATTTCCCTTGCTACACTGTCTACTCTCTGGTTGTGTGCACGCAGCGTCTGTGGGACCCGGCTGGACATGTTTAGTAGATCAGTAATAAGTGGTAGTTTCGTTCTCTGGATTGTTTCATGTTGGTGTCTGTGGCCCGTCTGCACACACACAGCAGGGCCTCCATGAACAGCACTGGGGGGGCAGGGGGATCCCTGGCAGGTAGGACCACTGCTGCCTTGGGCCCTGTCTACCAAGAAGATCATGCACTGGGTGGCTGGGAAGGCATTAGGGGCAGCAAGACTGGAGGTGATCCCCTGCTACTCACATAAGACACGGTGCTGACGGAGGCCTGAGGAAGTCACGGGACACGAGACACGGACCAGGACACAGCACATGGAACGTGGACAGACACACAGGTGAACCGGTGATCTCGGGTGGTGGCGTGGGGGGTGGGGTAAGGGGAACGGGGGAAACCGGGTGTGTGGAGTAGGGCGGCCTGGGGACCACACGCCTGGGTTTGAATCCCACTCTACCTCCTTTATTTAAAAAAAATTTTGTAGAGATGGGGGTCTCACTGTATTACCCAGGCTGGTCTCGAATTCCAGGGCTCAAGTGATCCTCCTGCCTCGGCCTCCCAAAGTGCTGGGATTACAGGCATGAGCCACTGTGCCCGGTCCCCACTCCACCTCTTCCTGGGTGCGGGACCAACAACTGACTCACCCCTCCCATGCTTGGGCTCTTCATCTTCAGCGCAGAAAAACAGCACCCACCCCACCCAAGGGGTAAGGCAGTGGGAGAATAGGGCTTGGAACAGTGGGGGGCACCTTGTAACATTCACTTAGACAACAAACCCAGCCATCATGATCACCTAAAATCAGGCTTGACACAGTAGGTGCTCAGAAAATAAAGCACCTACTAAGTACTAGGAGCCATTCCGAGAGTCAATGAGACCAAGACTGACCCTCACACCTCTGTGTCCCCTGACTCTGCTTCCAGCCCCACCCCAGGCACACAGTAGGTGCTCAGGTGGCACAGGCATCCAGGAGAAGGTCCTCCATGAGGGGAAGAGGCAATCGTGAGGAAAGCCCAAGATGGAAGGGGCGATGCTGTGGCAGGGCCCAGGGGGTGTCCCAAGGCTGGGGTGCTTACGGGGACACCCGGCTCCTTCCTGCCCTTCGGCGATGATGCCACATGGGCGAGGTACTGGATGACCTTCTTGGTGTTTTCCGTCTTCCCAGCTCCAGACTCTCCACTGTGGGGATGACAAGGGGAAGCAAAGGGGTTGGCGATGACCTACCTGCCTAGGGCAAGCTCCCCACCTGCCCTGGCCATTTCAAACACAGCCATGCCCCACCCAGACCCCTCCCTCCTCCTCCAGGAAGTCCTTCCAGATTACTCACGTGCAGAGAATGGACTGGTCCTCACGATCTGTAGGGGACAGAGTGGGGGGATATGTCATTTGAGAGAGTCTCCAGCAGGGCTCTCTGGTCCCTTACACTCACTGCTGCCTTTTTAAAATTATTCCCAAGGAGTGAGGAAAAGCTTGGGTCTTGATGTGTAACACTCCTGGATTCTAATTCCCCATCCAGCTCAGCCCCTTGCTTGCTGTGTGACCCTGGGAAAGCAGCTGCCCCTCTCTGACCTTTGGTTTCCCCACCTGTACAATGGAGACAGCCTCCCTCAACTGAACAGAATAGGATTCACTCAGCAACCTCAACATGAGACCCTACTGTGTGCCACCTCATGCTGGGCGTGTGAGATTCAAAGACAGGAGCGAGGTCCTGTGATACAAGGTGTCTACCCCAGCGCCCGCCCGGGGCCTAACACAGCCATTCCACAACCGCATGCTGACCACCTACTGAGCGCCAGGCATGGAGGGGCCTGGGGAGCTGGCAGGGTGTGTGCCCCTACAGAGCTTTCACTTAAGATGCAGGGGACAAAAACCTACAATCAAATAGCGATTAGCACTGGGAAGAAAACTAAATCAGGAATAGAATAAAGCAGTGGTTCTTAAACGGCGGCAATGATGTCCTCTATTCCCACCAGAAGACACCTAGCAATGTCTGGGAGGCATTTTTGGTTATTACCCTGAGAGAGGGGAGTTCCATGGGCACTGAGTGGGTAGAGGCCAGGGGTGCTGCTAAACACCTGCAATGCCCAGGACAGCCTCCGACGACGAAGACTCATCCAGCCCCAAATGTCGATAGACCCAGGATTCCAAAACCCTGGTGTTAGGTAATTAGAATCGACTTGGGGGAAGGAGCAGGGAAGGCTTCTCAGAGGAGGTGGCATTTCAGGTAGAGGGCACAGCCAGGGGAAAGGCTCTGAGTCAGGGATGTTTGAGAGACAGAAAGGCCAGTGAGGTTGGGGGATGGGGCAGAGATGGCAACTGGTGTGATGGGTTTTAAAGCCGTGATTAGGCTAGACACAGTGGCTCACGCCCGTAATCCCAGCACTTTGGGAGGCCAAGGCCAGCAGATCACCTGAGGTCAGGAGTTCAAGACCAGCCTGGCCAACATGGTGAAACCCCGTCTCTACTAAAAATACAAAAATTAGCCAGGCGTGGTGGTGCTGCCTGTAACCCCAGCTACTCGGGAGGCTGAGGCAGAAGAATCGCTTGAATCTGGGAGGCGGAGGTTGCAGTGAGCCAAGATTGTGCCATTGCACTCCAGCTGGGCGACAAGAGTGAGACTCCATCTCTAAATAAATAAATAAATAAAGCTATGATCAAAGAGTCTGAATGTTTTTTTAAGCAGGACAGACATCCTCTGGGTGTCTTCAAACCAGGGAGTAAGCTGCATCCAGTAGGACCTCAGACTTGGCAGCCTGGTGTAGGGGACAATATGCACACAGATTCACCACCCAGCTGTCTCTCTGACTTGCTGCGTGTCCTTGTGCCAGTCTCTGAATTGCTTTGTGCCTGTTTTCCCATCTGAAAAATGGGGCTCAAAACAGCTGCCATCTCACAGGGCTGTAGTCAGAATTCAGAATGTTCAAAATGCACCCAGCACAGTGCACAGCACAGGAGGAAATATAACACGGTGTGACATACAGGGAGGCGGTGGTCGGGGGCCCTGGGTTTGAATCCCACCTCAGCATACATCCACCAGTGTGACCATGGGCAGTGACTGCTTTGCTCTGTGCCTCAGTTTCCCCATCCAGAAATCAGGGACAAGGAGATAACCTATTTCATAGATTTGCTATGAGGTTAAATGAATTCATCTGGCAGAAACTGATAGACCTGCCAGGAGAAATAGATGAATCCACTATTCTACCTGGAGACTTCAATATTCCCATTTCATACTCTCATTTAATATGCATATTAAATAAGCATATTAGGCTGGGCGCGGTGGCTCACGCCTGTAATCCCAGCACTTTGGGAGGCTGAGGTAGGCGGATCACCTGAGGTCAGGAGTTCAAGACCAGCCCGGCCAACATGGTGAAACCCTGTCTCTACTAAAAATACAAAAATTAGCTGGGCATGGTGGCATGTGCCTGTAGTCCCAGCCACTCGGGAGGCTGAGGCAGGAGAATGGCTTGAACCCGGGAGGTGGAGGTTGCAGTGAGCTAAGGTCATGCCACTGCACTCCAGCCTGGGTGACAGAGTGACACTCTGTGAAAAAAAATAAATAAATAACAGCATAATATGTTTACAATATTACGCTATTTAATATACCATTTAAGTTAATATGTTATACTATTTAACACATTATTATACTTATTGAATATGCATATTAAATAGGTATAATTTATTATATCAACATTACACGTATATAATAAAATAAATATAAAGTATAATAAATATAAAGTATAATAAAATAAAAATGAAGTATAATAAAACAAAATAAAGTATAATAAAATAATACACTTATTGAATATGCATACTAAATAAGCATAATATTTTCACAATATTACACTATTTAAATATATACATTTAATTGTTTGTGTTTAATATGCATATTCAATAAGTATAACATATTCATATTCAGGCCCTGAGGTAGGACTGAATTAGGGACGTTTGACAGGAAGGTGGGTGAGGCTGGGGTGCGGGACAGAAATGGTGAGTGGCACAGACGGGTTTTGAAGTCATGACTGAAGGGTCTGAATGTTGTGTACTATTACATGGGGTTTTTCCTTTTGTAACAAAAACTTTTTTTTTTTTTTTGAAACGGAGTCTCGTTCTGTTGCCCAGGCTGGAGTGCAGTGGTGCCATCTCCGCTCACTGCAAGCTCCGCCTCCTGGGTTCATGCCATTCTCCTGCCTCAGCCTCCCGAGTAGCTGGGACTACAGGCACCCGCCACCACGCTTGGCTAATTTTTTTTGTATTTTTAGTAGAGATGGGGTTTCACCACGTTAGCCAGGATGGTCTCAATCTCCTGACCTCGTGATCTGCCCACCTCGGCCTCCCAAAGTGCTGGGATTACAGGCGTGAGCCACCGCTCCAGCCTATTATATGTTATATGATGTAAATAGATATAATATTTAAATGTTTAATAGATATAAACAAATAAATACTAAATATTTATTAAAATAGATGAAATATACCAAATATATAATAAGGGCATTATATATATAATAGATGTTAATCACGTAATTTTGCTAAGACTGATCTATGTTGTCATGGTGTGAATGGTGGCCCCTTGGATGGATACCCTTGTTCAGTGTACAACCTGCCCAGCTGTACACAACTGCCTTGTGCTGCCATCTGTCTAAGGGGCTACATTTACCCCATGACAATGGAGATCAGATCTACAATTCAACAATAAGTGTTGAATGAACGAATGAAACTCTGGGAATTACTGTCTCAAGGGAAATGTTCATAGAAGCCCCACACCCAACAAATATTGTTCAGAGAAAGAGTGAACAGAGATCTTTAAAGAATCTCCATACTGTTTTCAACAGTGGTTGTACTAGTTTACATTCCACCAGCAGTGTAAAAGTGTTCCCGTTTCACCATATCCACACTAACAGCTGTTATTTTTTTATTTTTTAAAGATGAAAAACAGTATGGAGATTACTTAAGGAGCCAAAATTAGATCTATCATTTGATCCAGCAACCCCACCCTGGGTATGCACCCAGAGGAAAAGAAGCTATTATATGAAAAAGATACTTGCATACACATGTTTATAGCAGCACAATTCACAATTGCAAAAATATGGAATCAGCCTGAATGTCCATCAACCAACGAGTGGATAAAGAAATTGTGAGATGTGTGTGTATATATATACACGTATATATACACACAGACACACATATATATGAGTATTCCATGGTGTCTATACACACACACATATATATCCCATGGTGTGTGTGTGTATCTATATCTATATCTGTATCTATAGTATATATAAAGGGAGAGTATATATCCCACGGTGTGTGTATATATATATTTGTTATATACACCATGGGATATATATACATACATACACCATGGAATACTACTCAGCCATAAAAAGGAATGAAACAATGGCATTCACAGCAACCTGGATGAAATTGGCGACCATTATTCTAAGTGAGGTAACTCGGGAATGGAGAATCAAACATTGTATGTTCTCATTTATAAGTGGGAGCTAAGCTCTGAGGATGCAAAGACATAAGAATGACACAATGGACTTTGGGGACTCAGGATGAAGGGTGGTGGCGGGGTGGTGAGGGATAGAAGATTACACATTGGGTGCAGTCTACACTGCTCTGATGGCAAGTGCACCGAAATCTCAGAAATCGCCACTAAAGAACTTTAACATGCAACCAAACACCGCCTGTTTCCCAAAAACTATTGAAATAAAAAATAAATAATTTTTTTTTTTGAGGCAAAGACTTACTGTGTCATCCAGGCTGGAGTGCAGTGGCGCGATCTTGTCTCACTGCAAGCTCCACCTCCTGGGTTCATGACATTCTCCTGCCTCAGCCTCCCGAGTAGCTGGGACTACAGGCGCCCACCACCACACCCAGCTAATTTTTTTTGTATTTTTAGTAGAGATGGGACTTCACCTTGTTAGCCAGGATGGTCTTGATCTCCCGACCTCATGATCCGCCCACCTCGGCTCCCAAAGTGCTGGGATTATAGGCGTAAGCCACCGCGCCTGGCCAAAAATTAACTAATTTATTTAAAAATAAGAAAAGAGGCCAGGCGTGGTGGTGCACGCCTGTAGTCCCAGGTACTTGGGAGGCTAAGGCACGAGAATCGCTTGAGCCCAGGAGGCAGAGGTTGTAGTGAGCCAAGATCGTGCCACTGCACTCCAGCCTGGGTGACAAAGCAAGACTCTGTCTCAAAATAATAATAATAATAATAATAAATAATAATAAAGAGACAGTGAACATAGAGATAGGTAAAAAGACTCTGGGACCTGGCACCTCACCCACTCAGGCCTCTACTTGTGTTCCCTCCAGCCCCATAAGAAGCCCCACAGAGTCAAGTCCCCAAGCTGTCATTTGACCTGGACTCTGGCTTCCGGCAGCCCCAGGTCAGGCCCCCGTTGAAGAGCTGCCTCGCTGGCCTGCAGCCCCACCCAGCACTCACCCTGCAGCATGCTCCGATAGGCCCCCTCGGTCACTGCGTACACATGAGGTGGCACCTCGTGGCGCTTCTTGCCCCGGTACATCTCCACAATGGCTTCTGTGTAGATGGGAAGCTGCTTGTACGGGTTGATGACCACACAGAAAAGGCCGGAGTATGTCTGCAGTGGGTGAGAGGGGAGAGGGTCTCAGATCCCTGCCCACAGCCTGGAAGGCATCATGGGGCCACTGAACAGGTCGTGCATTGCACAAGGGCATCTGCACATGGTATGTTTACACCATAACAATATAGACTCGAATGTTTTTTATGAGCATTTTCAGGCTGATGGTAGCAAAGAATCTTTCCAAATTGCACAAAGGCACTGTCTGGGTGAGGATTTACCCTGAGAGAACAAGGCCTTTGCAGCCAGCCAGGCTTGGGTCACAGCCTGTGGTTGCCTGGACTCACCCACAGGAAATGACCGTGTGCGAGGTGACCGGTTGAGGCACTCTTTGTAGCAGCAAAACACTGGAAATCACCTGAATGCACCTTCATATGATGGAATTCCCAGAAGGCTCTTGTGTATAGACATGGGACTATCTTCAAACCAATATCGAGTAAAAGGAGGTGAGTTGAGAACTGTGTGAGGAGCTACAATTTGCATTAGAAAGGTTGGAAGAGGAATCTTTTTTTTTTTTTTTAAGACGGAGTCTCGCTCTGTCGCCCGGGCTGGAGTGCAGTGGCGCGATCTCGGCTCACCGCAAGCTCTGCCTCCTGGGTTCACACCATTCTCCTGCCTCAGCCTCCCAAGTAGCTGGGACTACAGGCACCTGCCACCACGCCCGGCTAATTTTGTGTATTTTTTAGTAGAGACGGGGTTTCATTGTGTTAGCCAAGATGGTCTCGAGCTCCTGACCTCATGATCCATCTGCCTCGGCTTTGCAAAGTGCTGGGATTACAGGCGTGAGCCACCGCGCCCGGTAGGAATCTTTTTATATATTCACTTGAATATGTATGGAATATCTCTGGAAGGGTGCTTGTGGTATCTGCAATAACCGAAATGCAACAGGAACATACCTGCAGTTTCTAGTGATAATAGACACATAACAGTTCTGCTGAAATGACCGTGCCTAGTCTTTTTCTTTTTTTTCTCTTTGAGACAGGGTCTTACTCTGTTACCCAGGCTGGAGTGCAGTGGTACAATCATGGCTCACTGCAGCCTCCACCTCCTAGACTCAAGCAATCCTCCCACCTCAGCCTCAAGAGTAGCTGGGATCACAAGTGTGTGTCGATCCACTAGGTTGATTTTTCGTATTTTTAGTAGAGATGGGGTCTCACTACGTTGTCCAGGCTGCTCTTGAACTCCTGGGATCAACTAATTCTGCCACCACAGCCTCCCCACTTGCTGGGATTACAGGCTTGGGCTGCCGCACCCGGTGTATTTTTTTTATAGACACGGGGTCTCTCTATGTTGCCCAGGCTGGTCTCAAACTCCTGACCTCAAGTGATCTGCCCATCTCAGCCTCCCGAAGTGCTGGGATTAGAGGCGTGAGCCTCCACACCCAGCCTCAGGACTCTGTAACAGTTTAAGAACAAGTCCCGCTCACAGGGGTAATCATGTAGGCAACAGGGGTTCAACACTCACAGAAGCAGTTAGATATAACTAGAGAGCTAGTTAGCCACTTAGCTAAACCAGCCAGAGAGCTGACTAGCCAAGCTCTCTAAAGTTAGCTAGCTAAACTAGCCAGAGAATTAGCTGCTTAGTGGCTTAGCTAGTTAGCTACTCTGGACTTTGAAGCCATCTGGGATTCAAATTAAGATGTGTTTTCCAGCTGTATGTGACAAAGTAGGGTAACCTACTCTGCTAGCTACCCAGCTAGCTGCTTTCTAAGCTGGTTAGCAGCAGGACTATCTTTTTCTTTTGTTTTTTAGAAACAGGATCTCACTTTGTCACCCAGGCTGGAGTGTGGTGGCATGAACACAGCTCACTGCAGCCTCCACCTCTTGGGCTCAAACAATCCTCCTGCCTCAGCCTCCCTAGCAGATGGGAGCACAGGTAGGCACCACCACGCCTGGCCAATTTTGTCAATTTTTACTTTTCGTGGAGATCAGATCTCACTACGTTGCCCAGGCTGGTCTTGAACCGCTGGGCTCAAGCGATCCTCCCACCCAGGCATGCCTGGGGTTACAGGTGTGAGCCACTGTGCCCGGCCAGCAGGACTGTTTTAAGCTCCCAGGGAGCTTGGGCTTCTCAGGCAGAGTAGGGTGTGGCCACCATAGGCTGCCTGGTCCCAGGTGCCAACCTTCTAAGTGGGAGGGTGGGTGGCCTGGGTGGCCGGCCAGGAGCGGAACAACCGGTTTGCTGGGTGTCTGCCCTCCCCGCCTGAAAGGGCTGCTCCGGGAGCTCCCCAGCTCTCAGAGGGTGGGGCGGCCGGACCACATTCCCTGGGAGGGTATCTCATGGCTGCCGGCGCCCTGGCCCCCACTCCTGGCTGGCGGAGGAACCCACTCCCCACACCACCCTCCCACCCCAGCCCCTCCTGTCAGCCACACCTTGTTTCCAGGGCGACACCCTAGGAACGGAAACCTGAGCTGGTCAACAAGGCTGGGGGGGAAAGAACAGAGGCTGGTGCACCCCCACGGGGTCGAGACAGCTGGGGAAGTCCGCCTGGAAGGGTCAGGAATGGCTGCTCCAGCCCTTGGGGCTCTGAAGACAGACCTGCCCCCGCCCCCCCTCAGCCCGGTGACTTTCCCCATAGTCTCAGTTTCCTCCTTAGGAAACCAAGGGCGACACTCCCCACCCCATTACAAAGGCTGTAGGGATTAGGGGAGATCATGGATAAAAACCAGCCAGGCTGAGGCGGCGCCCATGCGTTCCACACCAAATATGGGTCTTGAGACTCTTACGTTACCCATCGTACCTGGGAGCCCTGGGCTCACTCAGACTTTTTTGGCGGGGGCGGGCAGGACAGAGTCTGGCTCTGTCACCTAGGCTGGAGTGCAGTGGCGCGATCCCGGCTCACTGCAGCCTCAAACTCCCAGGCTCATTGTTCAGACTTTGAAGCCATCTAGGGTTCAAAATCAGATGCAGCACTTTTGAGCTGTGTGTGACTTTGCATGAAGGCTGTGTCCTCTCTAAACCTCAGTTTCCAGCCCTGGAAAATGCGGCTTTTAACCCACCACCTAGAAGTGTTCTGAGAGTGAAATCACATCATGCATCTTCCATGTTTCTCAGAGCAGGGTGTTCTACAAAGGGGTTCTCTGCCTGCCCCAAGGGTCCCAGGAAAGGGACTGAGACTCTTAGCAACTCCAAGCCAAACAGCATATTAGTGGCAGAAACTGGGTTTCTGGAGCCCTGGACATCCTACTTTTCGCTGGGCAATACCACCTTCCCCACCATTGGTTGGTCAGTCAACAAACATGTACTAAGCGCAGGTCTTAAACAGGGCAGAGTTTGAATCACACCTCTAACATTTTTGGGCCAGGTGGCTCGAACCTCTCAGGGTCTCAGTGTCTTTAGCAAATGGGGACAGAAATAGTGCTTCCTGCATAAGGTGCCTGGGAGTCATCCACAAGTTCATGTGGCATACAGAGGGTTTAATGTGAACCCCAGCTGGGTGCAGCAGTGGCTCAAGCCTCTAAATCCAGCACTTTGAGAGGCCCAGGCAAGAGGATCACTTGAGTCCAGGAGTTTGAGACTAGCCTGGGTAACATTGTGAAACACGGTCTCTACAATAAATTAAAAAATCAGCCAGGCGTGGTGATATGTGCCTGTAGTCCCAGCTACTTAGGAGGCTGAGGCAGGAGGATCACTTGAGCCCAGGAGGTTGAGCTGCAGTGAGCTGTAAGCATGCCACTGCACTCCAGCCTGTGTGACAGAGCAAGGCTATGTCTAAAACAAACACACACACAAATAAAACAAAAAAACAGAACATGGACCTTGAAACACTGCAAGCTCAATATTTTAGCCACTATCAGCTTCTGTTGGGCCAATGGCTTCCCCTCTCCAAGCTGTGGGAAAAAGAGGGTGATAATCCCTACCTCACAACCTGACGTGGATGGGGAGGGGGTCAACAAGATCACATTGGAAAGAAACTTAGAACAGCACCCAGCAGAGAAAGCAGGTACTCACTAAGGGCTAATGATCTTTATTAAGGCCCAATTTGCTTCCCATCTGGAATTCTAGAATCTTCTCTCTCACATTCATTTCTTAGGCCCCCAAAATCTGGCTCCCTGGCCACCACCTTAGCTCAGGCCCTACCACTTTTTCTACTGAACTTTCTGAATAATCTTCCTAGTGCAATGGCTACGACCTGGGGTCTGCAGTTACAATGATCTGGGTTCAAATTCTAGCTTAGCTGGTTCCTAGTTATGGGGCTTATGTTCAAATCTTACCCCGCAATCTGAGGCTCAGTTTCCCCACCTGCAGAGTGGGGATGACAGCAGATACCTTACAAGGTTGCTGGGAGCACTCCGAGTATTTATTAAAAGGCAAAGAGTGGCCGAGTGCGGTGGCTCACCCCTGTAATCCCAGCAGTTTGAGAGGCCGAGTTGGGCAGATCACTTGAGCTCAGGGGTTTGAGACCAGCCTGGCGAACACAGTGAAACCCCATCTCTATTAAAAATACAAAAATTGGCCGGGCGCGGTGGCTCAAGCCTGTAATCCCAGCACTGTGGGAGGCCGAGGCGGGTGGATCACAAGGTCAGGAGATCGAGACCATCCTGGCTAACATGGTGAAACCCCGTCTCTACTAAAAATATAAAAAACTAGCCGGGCGTGGTGGCGGGCGCCTGTAGTCCCAGCTACTCGGCGGCTGAGGCAGGAGAATAGCGTGAACCCGGGAGGCAGAGCTTGCAGTGAGCCGAGATCACGCCACTGCACTCCAGCCTGGGCCACACAGCAAGACTCCGTCTCAAAAAAAAAAAAAAATACAAAAATTAGCTGGGCATGGTGGTGGACACCTGTAGTCCCAGCTACTCAGGAGGTTGAGGCAGGAGAGTTGCTTGAACCCAGGAGGCGAAGGCTGCAGTAAGCCAAGATCATGTTGCTCCACTGCAGCCTGGGCAACAGAGTGAGACCCTGTTTCAAAAAATATATATATATATAAATGAATAAAAGGCAACCAGTGGATCCATGTTTTGCATGTCATCCTGATCTCTGTGGCCTTGGGTGAGATGTGGGGGGCGTGGCTCAGGCAGAGGCCTCTTTTCCAGGACTAGTAAAGGCGTTTGAGGATTTGGAAAGGGCCGGTGCAGACTGGAGAAGACACCAACCCCATGCAGGGTCGGATAGCCCTCGATTCAAATTCCACACCTGCCACCACAAGCTGAGGGACCCTGAGCCAGCCACTGCTTATCTCAGAGCCTCGATCTCCAAGCAGGAGTGAGGCTTCATAAAAATATTCTCATCTTCCGCTTTGTGACCCTCAAAGGGGTGGATGTTGGAGCAAAGCTGTGAGACTCCACCAGTCTAAACTGGAGTTTGGAACACGACTCTGGAACCAGCTGCCTGGGTTCAAATCCTGGCGTGATTCCTTCATGGCTATGGGTCACTTAACATTCCTGAACGTCAGGTGATATCAGCAGTCCCTGGCCCAGAGAGAAGCTGATAACTCAAATGCCGCACTTAGAACAGTGCTTGGCACATCACAAGTGCTCGATGAAATATTTGCTAGCCTCCTCTTATTATTATTTTTCATTATGACTGTCCACATTCCTTGTCAGTCTCTCTAATCCTGTTTGCTCTTTTGTTAAATGAAATTAATAACCCCTTGGCTACCCATTAGTACCTCCTTGGAAGCTTATTAAAAATACCATTGCTGGCTGGGTGCGGTGGCTCAAGCCTGTAATCCCAGCACTTTGGGAGGCCGAGACGGGTGGATCACGAGGTCAGGAGATCGAGACCAACCTGGCTAACCCGGTGA